TGTTTGTTTGTTTGTTTTGTTGATTTTGAGACAGAGTCTCACTCTTGTCGCCCAGGCTGGAGTGCAAGCGTATCTGGGCTCACTGCAACCCTCTGCCTTCCCGGCGTTCCAAGGATGTCCCTGTCTCAGCTCCCCAAGTAGCCTGGGATTTAACAGGTCGCCCGCTACCCATGCACTGGCTAATTTTGTATTTTTAATAGAGACAGGCGTTTTTCACCGCATTGGCCAGGGTCTGGGTGCTCAAGCTCCTGACCTCAGGTGATCCTGCCCGCCGTCCCCCGGCTCCCACAAGTGTGGAATTGCAGGATGGCTGAGCCACACGCTGGCCCCACCCATTTATCCTATATTCTCCTTGCTTAGTTTGTCAGGTTAACTGCAAGAATTTAACCGGATGTGCTTTCTTAAGAACATAGAGCTGAAGTAGCTGGGTTTTTTTTGTTGTTTTTTTTTAATTTGAGACGGAATCTCGCTCTGTCGCCCAAGCGCCTGCGGTGCAGTGGCCGGACCTCAGCTCAGTGCAAGCTCCGCCTCCCGGGTTTACGCCATTCTCCCTGCCCTCAGCCTCCTGAGTAGCTGGGACTCACAGGTGCCCGCCACCTCGCCCGGCTCAGTTTTTTTTGTCATTTTTTTAGTAGAGACAAGGGTCACCCGTGTTACCAGGATGGTGCCTCCAATCTTCCTGACCGTCGTGATCCGCCCGTCTCGACCTCCCCAAGATGTGCGTGGGATTACAGGCTCTGAGCCCACCGCCCCTGGCTAGATGTGTTAATGTAACTTCAGTAACCCTTGGTTGCTCACAGTAAATGATGACATGCAGTGTCCTTGTTGCTCTGGCTTTCAAAGACAGACGGGAAGAGAGGTCATAGGAAAAAATAAATGCAATATTGTTACAAACCTGAGAACTACTCTCATATAAGTTTCCCATGCTGTCACCTTTTATGTTAAAATGTATTTTAAAATTAAATTTATCCTACTTCCTTTGCTTTCTTCAAGTGCAGCAAGTCAGACAATATACAAAAAGTATTTTATGCCAAGGCCGCGGGGCTCACCTCTGTAAATCGTCCCAGCACTTTGGGAACCGAGGCGGTGGATCACCTGAGGATCCCCAGGCCTGACCACATGGAGAAACCCCGGTCTTTTACCAAAAAATACACAAATTAACCCGGGCATGGCTGGCACATGTCTGTAAAACCCCCAGCTACTTCGGGAGGCTTTCGAGCGCAGGACGAATCCGCTCAAACCTGGGAGGCAGAGGTTGTGGTGAGCCGAGATCGTGCCATTGCACTCCAGCCTGGGCAACAAGAGTGAAACTCCATCTAAAAAATAAGAAAACAAAAGAAATGTCCCTTCACGGTGACATTATATTTCTGTTACACAGTGATGATGGAGAATATCTAATTTATCTTCCAAATACCCCTGTGAGGTGGATATTACAGAGCTCCTTTGCAGAGGTGGTGAGATGTACCCATACCACACATCTCTTTGGACCCCTGGGCTCAAATGGTCTTCCCATCTCAGCTTCCTGAGTAGCTAGGGCTACCCGTGCATGCCCCTATGCCTGGCTAATTGAAAAAAAAAAAAAAAAATTATTGTAGAGATGAGGTCTCCAACATCTTTCTGTGGCAGAGCTGGGATTCAAAGCCTCATCTAGGCACCATTTTCCTTGTCCTCTGAGTCCCACAGCCCCCAGCCCGAAAGGTTACTCTCTAACCTCGCAAATATTGTCTCCAGGTGGACTCGGCGTGCAGGTGATGGCAGTGGCTCACTCTTTCCCTTACAGAAGATGTTGTCCCTGTCCAAGCTGAGCCCTGCTCTGTCGTGTGTCTGGACTGTTAGCTGAGGTCCCGTCAGGTCTCCAGGCCCCAGAGGTCTTCTGGGAGAGGTCTTGCAACAGTTTCTTATTGCCTCCTTCTCAGGACCATCCGGGCTACCACTGACTATTGCCGCCGCCACAAGATCCCCTTTCCCCACGTAGAAGAGGCTAAGCTGGATTTGTGGTCCAAGGCCCCCGCCAGCTGCTACATCCTGAAAGGAGAAACCGGACCAGTGGTGATGCATTTTCCCCTGTTCAACACAGATGCCTGTGGAGGTAGGTGCAGGGGAGAAGCAGGTTGAGAAGCCACCTATGTTAGTCTGTTCTCACACTGCTAATAAAGACATACCTGAGACTGGGTAATTTACAAAGGAAGGTTTAATTGACTCACAGTTCAGCATGGCTGGAGAGGCCTCAGGAAACTTACAATCATGGTGGAAAGCGAAGGGGAAGCAAGGGCACCTTCTTCACAAGGCGGCAGGAAGGAGAAGTGAGTGCCAGCAGGGGAACTGCCAGATGCTTATAAAACCATCAGATCATTTGGGCGCGGTGGCTCACGCCTGTAATCCCAGCACTTTGAGAGGCCGAGGCAGGTGGATCACAAGGTCAGGAGATCGAGACCATCCTGGCTAACACATTGAAACCCTGTCTCTACTGAAAATACAAAAAAAAAAAAATTGCTGGGCATGGTGGCGCGTGTCTGTAATCCCAGCTACTCAGGAGACTGAGGCAGGAGAATCACTTGAACCTGGGAGGAAGAGGTTGCAGTGAGCCGGGATCACGCTACTGCACTCCAGCCTGGCAACAGAGCGAGACTCCTTCTCAAACAAATAAATTAATACATACCATCAAATCTCGTGAGAACTCGCTCACTGTCACGAGAACAGGATGAAGGTAACCACTTCCATGCTTCAATTACCTCCCACGGCACTTGGGGATTATGGGAACAATTCAAGATGAGATTTGGGTGGGGACACAGCCAAACCATATCAACACCAGGCCAGGCTGAATGGAGCTGCGCTGTGCCCTGGGGGACATCTCGTTATGCTCCAACATCTGATGGTCCAGTGAGTCATCCTGTCTACCCTCGGGCCTGGAGGATGCCAGGCTGCCTCCCTCGGTCTTGCATGCCTCTGCATGTTGCTGCCTCTCTGCGGCATTCTTGTCCTACCTGAATATCCAACGCCTTCCACCTGGACATCCCACATTCCTCATCCAGTCTCAGGTGAGCAGCTGCCTGGAAGGTCTAGAATCCAGGATAGGTGGTACTCCAGGGCCTGATTGTATCACTTCCCACAGTGGACTCCTTTTAGCTTGTCAATCATGTCTCCTGCGATGAGACTCCCATTAGGGATAAATTGTGTCTGTTTTCTTCCTTCATTTAACAAACACTTATTGGTTACCTACGCTGCATCAGCCGTAGTTCCAGGAGAGGCAGGCTGGAGTAGTAAAGAAGACAGGAAGTGGGGGGCCAGGCGCGGTAGCTCACACCTGTAATCCCAGCACTTTGGGAGGCCAAGCAGGGGCAGATCACCTGAGGTCAAGAGTGCAAGGCCAGCTTGGCCAACACGGTGAAACCCCATCTCTACTAAAAAATACAAAAAATTCTCCAGGCGTGGTGATGCATGCCCGTAATCCTAGCTACTTGGGAGGCTAAGGCAGGAGAATTACTTGAACCTAGGAGATGGAGGTTACAGTGACCCAAGATAGTGCCATTGCATTCCAGCCTGGGAGACAAGAGTGAGACTCTGTCTCAAAAGACTGGAAGGGGTATGGATCATAAAAATATAGATAAATCCATAACCTCATGTGTCAGTAAAACTTTATTTATAAAACCAAAGTGGTGGGCTGACTGCATTTGGTCTACAACTGTAGTTTGACAAGCCCTGATGTAAACAGACAAAATCTGCAGAATTAATTGTCCAAACTCACGATGCATTTTCTTTATTGGTTTGGTTATGCTTCAGATGATATTGAGGCCTGGAGTGACACATACGACACATTCAAGCTCGCTGACACCTACACTCTAGATGTGGTGATGCCACTCTTGGCATTAGCCAAGATGAACGTCAGGGAAAACAAGAAGAAGATCCTTAGAGAGATGAGGAACGCGGCCATGTAGGTGGGAGACCATAGTCACTCTGATGCCTATACTCATTCTGTAAGTATCTGTTGGAGAACTTTCTCTGCAACAGGCAGGAGGGCTGAAGGGGTGAAAAAAGATAGGTAGTTTCTCCCCCACTTGAGCTTGTGTCTCAGTAGTGGACTGACCACGAACAGGGTCAGGAGTGAATGGTTTTCTGAAGAGTGAAGCAGGCTGTGTTTGTTTGCTAGGGTTGCTGTAACAAAATACCATTGACTGGGTGGCTTCACTGAAATTGATGGTCTCATGGTGCTGGAGGCTGGAAGTGTGAATTCCCAGTATCAGCAGTGCTGGTTCCTTCTGGGATCTGTGAGGGAGAATTTGTTCCATGCTTGTCTCTGTGTATATTAGTCCATTTTCACATGCTATAAAGAACTACCTGAGACTGGGTAATTGATGAAGAAAAGAGGTTTAATTGGCTCACAGTTCCAAAGGCTTAAGAGGAAGCATGACTGGGAGGCCTCAGGAAACTTACAATCGTGGTGGAAGGTGAAGGGGAAGCAAGCACATCTTTACGATGGCAGAGCAGGAGAGAGACAGAGCAAAGCAGGAAGTGCTACACATTTTTAAACAACCAGATCTCATGAGAACTCCCTCACTATCACCAGAACAGCAAGGGAGAAGTACACTCCCATCAATCACCTCTCACCAGGCCCCTCCCACAACAAGAGGGCATTACAATTTGAGATGAGATTTGGTTGAGGACACAGAGCCAAACCATATCTCTGTGAAAGGAAAATGAAATCTCACGACCCCAATTCACTGTGCCAAAAGGAAAAACTTAAGCTGTGGCTGGGCACTGTGGCTCATGTCTATAATCCCAGCACTTTGGGGAGCCAAGGCAGGAGGATCACTTGAGCTCAGGAGTTCAAGATCAGCCTGGGGCAACATAGTGAGACCACATCTCTACAAATAATTTTAAAAATTAGCTGGCTGTGGTAGCACAGGCCTATAGTCTCAGCTACTCAAGAGGCTGAGGTGGGAGGATTGCCAGAGCCCAGGAGTTTGAGGCTGCAGTGAACTATGATCGTACCACCCCACTCCAGGCTGAGCAACAGAGCAAGACCTTGCCTCCAAAATAAAAAATAAAAAAATAAAAAATAAAAAATTAAGCTGAAAGCTTAATTAAGCTGAGTCATGCAAGAAACTGTCTTTCCTTTTGTTCCTAGGCCACAGATGAAAGGCCACAGGTATCTCCACAGATAGCTTACTCTATCGATATGGTTTGGCTCTGTGTCCCCACCCAAATCTCATCTCGAATTGTAATCCCCACGTGTCAAGAGAGGGACCTGGTGGGAGGTGATTGGATCTTGGGGGTGGCTTGCCTTATGCTTTTCTCATGAGAGTGAGGGGGTTGTCATGAGATCTGATGGTTTTTAAGTGGCAGTTTCCCCTGCTGTCTCTCTCTGTCTCTCTCTCATTCTCTCTCGTCTCTCCTGCCACCCTGTGAAGAAGATGCCCTGCTTCCACCATGACTGTATTAGGTTGGTGCAAAAGTAATTGCAGTTTTGCAACTAAAAGTAATGGCAAAAACCGCAATTACTTTTACACCGACCTAATAAGTTTCCTGAGGCCTCCCCAGCCATGTGGAACTGTGAGTCAGTTAAACTTCTTTTGTTTATACATTACCCAGTCTCAGGTAGTGTCTTTATCACAGTGTGAGAATGGACTCATACAGTTCTAGAAGTCAGAAATCTGAAACGAGTGTTAAGGAGCAAAACCCGAAGTCTTAGCAGGGCCGACTTCTGTGGAGGCTCCACGGGGGAAGCTGTTCCTTGCCTTTTTCAGCTTCTAGAGGCCACCCACATTCCTTGGCTCACGGCCCCTCCTTCAACCTCTTCCTTGTCATCTCATCTCCTCCTTGCTCTGACCTCCTGCCTTGCTCTTATAAGGAAAGACCCATGTGATTCCATTGGACCCACCCAGATACCCAGGATCCTCTCCTCATCTCAGGATCCTTAGCTTAACCTCATTGGCAGAGTCCCTTTTGCCATGGAAAGTCACATACTGGCCAGGAGCAGTGGCTCACACCTGTAATCCCAGCACTTTAGGAGGCCAAGGCAGGCAGTTCGCTTGAGCTCAGGAGTTCAGACCAGCCTGGGCAACATGGCAAGACACCATCTCTACTAAAAGTACAAAAAAGTAGCAAGGCATGGTGGTGTATGCCTCTGGTCCCAGCTCCTTAGGAGGCTGAGGTGGGAGGATTGCTTAACCTTGGGTAGCGGAGGTTACAGTGAGCCCAGATCACACCACTGCACTCCAGCCTAGGTGACAGAGTGAGACCTTGTCTCAAAAAAAGAAAAAAAAAAAAAAAAGTCACGTATTCATGGGCGCCAGGGATTAGGATAGGGACATCATTGGGAGCCATTATTCAGCCTGCCACAAAGACACAGGCAGGACCCCGATGACAGAAACCAGGGGGAGAGTTAGAATTTTATTTTGCATATAGTGGGAAGCTGTTGTTAAGTTTTGAGCAGGGGAGTAGCTTTATCTGAGTCACCTTTTCAAAGGCCCACCTGGCTCCAGTGTAGTTGGTCCCTAGACAAGATAATTAGCACCCTGAGGACCAGGTTGAGTCAGTGACCTCAGGGTTGCAAGGTAGAGGGAAGAGAAAGCCACTCTGGGCCTCTGGACCAGTTTGTGTTCCCCAGACAGTTTCCCCAAAAGCCCTGCCTGGCATGGGGAAGGTCGATTATTTGCTACTCATCTGTCTTCTAATGAGGGGTTGTATATTAGTTTGCTGGGGCTGCCATTAAAAAGTACCACAGAGGCTGGGTGTGGTGGCTCAAGCGTGTAATCCCAGCACTTTGGGAGGTGGAGGTGGGTGGATCACAAGGTCAGGAGTTCGAGACCAACCTGGCCAACATGGTGAAGAAGCCCTGCTCTACTAAAAATACAAAACTTAGCTGGGCGTGGTAGTGCGCGCCTGTAGTCCCAGTTACTTGGGAGGCTGAGGCAGGAGAATCGCTTGAACCCAGAAGGTGGAGGTTGCAGTGAGCCCAGATCGTGCCACTGCACTCCAGCCTGCTGACAGAGGGAGACTCCGTCTCAAAAAAGCACCACAGATCAAGTGACTTAAATAACAGACACTTATTGTTTCGTAGTTCTGGAGGCTGGAAGTCCAAGATCAAGGTGTGAGCAGGGGTGGTTTCCCCTGAGGCCTCTCTCCTTGGCTTGCAGATGGTGCCTCCCTGTGTCTACACATGATCTTCCTCTGTGCCTGTCCACTTCCCACCTTCTCACCTGTAGAACTCAGAGCTTATTTATGCTTATTTGTTGACTCTCTCTCCTCATAACAAGGTGTGCAGCAGTGTGGGGTCAGGAACCACATCACTTTGCCCCCCACAGTGTCCATTCTTTCATTCGTTGATTCCACGAACATTTCCTGGATGCCGACTAGATCCAGTCTGCCCAGGTCCTGCAGCCATGGCTGCATACAGGTCAGGTGAGGCTCTTGCTCTTGTAGAATGGTACCTCCTCCCGGGGGGCAACATGACATAAACAGGTAAACAAAGGAGTCAACAGGATGGCCATGGAGAGTAAGTGCCGTTGAGACGACCAAACCTGCGGTGTGCTGAGGAGTGAAGTGAAGGCTTTTTAGGAAAGGGGCTGGGGGTCTGGGAAGGCATCCCGAGGGAGAGACCTTTCACCTGGGGCTGAATACTGAGAAGGGGTGGCCATGAGGAAGTCTTGGGGAACAGAATTCTGTGCAAAGGGAAAGTAAATGCAAAGTATCTGGAGTGGGAAAGACCTTAATCTATGTCTTACCTGTGTCTATAACATTTTGTACTGATATAAAGGCATATCTGAGGCTGGGTAATTTATAAAGGAAAGAGGTTTATTTGGCTCATGGTTCTGCAGGCTGTGCAAGAAGCATGGCACCTGTATCTACTTCTGGTGAAGGCTTCAGGGAGCATCCAATCCTGGTGGAAGGGGAAGGGGAGATGGCATGTTACATGGCAAGAGAGAGAAGGGAGGAAAGTACCAGTTTCCTTTTAACAACCAGATCTCAAGTGAACTAATAGAGCAAGAACTCACTCATTACCGCAGGGAAGGCACCAACCCATTCATGAAGGATCCACCACCATGATCCAAACATCTCCCTCTGGGCCCCACCTCCAACACTGGGGATCACATTTCAATGTGAGATTTGGAGGGAATGAATTTCCAAACTATATCAGTCTATTCAAGGAACAGGAAGAAAGCTGCTATTGCTGGATCAGGGTAGGGGAAGCACGGAATGAAAGGTGATTGGAGAGATGGACAGAGATCAGATCTTGTGAATTCTGGCAGGTATCATGACATTTGATGTAGGCCAAAGAGTTAGCTCCTAGCCCAGCATCTGATACATGCTTAATAAGCATAGTGTTGGGTACATAAACATTTACATGGTAAACATAGATCACAAGAGCTCCACAGGAGGAGGTGGTGGAGCTCCAGGTCTTCTCAGTTCATGAAAGAATGGATGAATGTCTTTCTCCTAAGTCATGCCTGACCTGTAGAGGCTTCCAGATCTTCTAATCTTATCCAATGTGCAACACTTCCTACAAAGCACAGTGGTAACTTCTAACTTTCCTTTCTCCCCAGGCTCTATTACCTGAAGCGTTATGCCCAAAGTTGCTCCTTGGTGTAGATGAGCCTCAGCTTCCAGGGCAGTATGGGCCTGTTGGTCTACCAGGGCCCTGATGTCCACCTGGCCTTCCTGTTCTTCACTCCCTTCAGCCACACACTTCATGAGTTCACCTTGGCTATCCTAACAGGGCCAATCACCAGTGACCAGCTGGACTGTGATTTTGATAGCATCATTCAGAAGAAGGGGTCCAAGGAGCTGCAGGTGGTGAAATGTGTCCTGCAGGTCCCTCGGGAGATCCTGGAGCTGGAGCATGAGTCTCTGACAATCAGAAGTATCATGTCCAATGTCCGGATAGCCAAAATGAACACGGCAGATCAGACCAATGCCTTTCACTGCTCCTTTATTACTGCACTTCCAGCCAGTAGCTCTGTAGAAGTTAGCTCTGTAGAAGTAAGAGCTGGGGTTTAAATCATGGGCTGTCTCTCCAGCCAAGTGGAGCTCTGAGAATACAACAGGTGCTCAATAAATGCTTGCTGATTAACTAATGGATTAGCTGTGCGTGTGTGTCTTGGTCTGCCACCACCCCTGCTGCGGCCCTTTTCACCCTCTGTGTACCCTTTACTTCTTCCTTTCTTCCCTTCCCCCTTTCCTTTCCATCTTCTTCCATCTGTATCTCAGCAATTCAGCATGGTGGCTCCACAGCTGGGCTTGAATCTTACTTCTGTAACCTACTCACCATGAGAACATGGACAAGATCCTTCGCCTCCATGCCCCAGTTCCATCATCTGTAGAATAGACCATCATGGAGCCTGTATCCTTGAAAGGCTTAACTGAGTTAATGAGTCTCAAGACCTTAGAATAATGTCTGGCACTGACGGAGTTCCAGAGCAATTATTATTCATACAGGCTCTCCAGAATTAAAGCAGGACTGTTAAGGGATGAACTGTGTGTCCCACCCCGACCAAAAGATGTGGCCATTGTTACCCCCAGTGCCTGTGAATGTGGCCTGCATGGAAATAAGGTCTTTTACCAATGTGATCAAGTGCAGATGAGGTCATTTGTGTGGACGCTAATCCACAATGACTAGTGTCCTTATGGAAAGGGAGGATTTCACCCGGCATAGTGGCTCATGCCTATAATCCCAGCACTTTGGGAGGCCGAGGCAGGCAGATCATGAAGTAAAGAGATTGAGACCATCCTGGCCAACATGGTGAAACCCCATCTCTACTAAAAATATAAAAATTAGCTGGGCTTGGTGGCACACATCTATAGTCCCAGCTACTCGGGAGGCTGAGGCAGGAGAACAGCTTGAACCCGGGAGGCGGAGGTTGCAGTGAGCCAAGATCACGCCACTACAGAGGTTCTCATAACCCTTTGAGCCTGGCAACAGAGTGAGACTCTGTCTCAAAAAAAAAAAAAAGAAAAAGAAAAAGAAAGAAAAGGGGGGATTTAGGAGAGGGGGAGTATTATGACAAATACCTAATGCATGCAGGGCTTAAAACCTAGATGACGGGTTGATGGGTGCAGCAAACCACCATGGCACATGTATACCTATGTAACAAACCTGCACGTTCAGCACATGTATCCCAGACTTAAAAATTTTTTAAAAAGAGGGAGAATTTAAAAATAGAGACAGGCATGTATACAGAGGGGAAGCCATGTGAACATGGAGGCAGGGATTGGGGTGAGGCATCTACAGGCCAAGGGGCTGTCAAACTATTGCCAGCAAACCACCAGTCATCCCAAAGAAGACCTTGAGAGCAGAAGGATCCAGTTCAGAATTCTGTGTTGCATTCAGTCGTGGCTTTTTTGTTGTTTTTTTTTTTTTGACAGAGTTTTACTCTAGTTGCCCAGGCTGGAATGCAATGGCACAATCTTGGGCTCACTGCAACCTCCGCCTCCTGGGTTCAAGCGATTCTCCTGCCTCAGCCTCCCAAGTAGCAGGGATTACAGATGTGCGCCACCACGCCCAGCTAAGTTTTTTGTATTTTTAGTAGAGACGGGGTTTCTCCATGTTGGTTAGGCTGGCCTCGAACTCCTGACCTCAAGTGATCCGCCCACCTCGGCCTCCAAAATTGCTGGGATTACAGGCGTGAGCCACCGCCCCGGCCTCGGCCATGTCTTCTTAGTCTCCTCGTATCTCGAATGGTTCCTCAATCTTTCCTTGATTTTTATGACTTTGACATTTTTGAAGCTTACAGGCCAGTTATTTTGTAAACCATCCCTCCATTTGGGTTCATCTGACGTCTAGTTATGATGAGATTCAGGAATCTTACAGAAGCGACACTTTGTTCTCGTGACATCCTGTCAGGTGGTGCAAAATTCCAACTTACCACATTACTGATGCTGTCCACTTTGACTAAGATGGTGTTTGCCATGTTTGTCCACTATAAAGTAACTCCTTTGAAACTGGTATTTTGTAGGGAGGTATTTTGAGCTCTGTAAATATCAAACTTCCCACTTACCTTTTTATTTATCTGAGTATGGACTCCTGGTTTCCTCTGTGGTCCTGTGTAATTTGTTACTATCATTATTTATTTTGACTCTCAAACTGCCCAGTATGGCCAATGGAGCTTCTTCAAGCAGACTCCTTTGTTCTTTCCACATGTCCTTATAACTCTGAGCAATTTCTTGCTTTAAGCATAGGATGTTTGTAGGTTCATCTTGTTCTTTTTTTGCCCTAGACATGGAATCAGCCAAATTTCCTAAGCACTCTGGTGTCATTTGATGGAGAATAGTAAATAGAAGTCAAGATTTGGATGCTAGCGGTGCTCATTTGTATGGGCCATCACTGTTTCTATGTTCTCTTAGTGGAGAGAGCTAGAGAATATGTGTACAAATGTTCCTATACACACTGAAACTATGTGTTTATTTTTATCTCTATACACAATTGAGATCCACGAGGACATACCAGCACCTCCAGTTACAGTCCAACACCACAGGGCTCATTCGACTTTCCTCCTTTCTGTCTTAGTAACTCCCTTTTCCAACAGTGGGAGACCTGGCCCCCATTCCCCTTACTCACCATGTGTAGCCAATTTCCCTTCTCCTTTGCCATTTCACCCCTGTGGGAATGTCTTTCCCAGCCTAGTCTGGCTTCAACACCGTACACCATGCTATTCCCATGAATGGACATCCTTCTGTCTCTGCTTGGGTTGTGACAACCCATGCCAGATGCCCCCTGTGTGGCCTCCTCCCTAATTGCCTTACAGTGCAAACCCCTGCCCCAGACAATGCCTGCATATAAACGCCCCCACCCCACTCAGTTCATGTTCCAAATTGTGGACTCCTCCTCACCGCACTACCCCATCTGGCTCCCCATACCAGATGGCCCCCAGCCCCCTCCTCCCCTAACCCTACCTAGTGTGGAACCTCAAAACCCCTTTAGGCTTTGACACCACCATAACTTTTCACCCTCCCTGACACCCCCCACCTTGCTTTTCCCCTCTAAATCATTCAGGAAAGACAGAAGGAAAGAGATGAACAGAGAAAGAGAAAATGCCATGCTCTTAGTCACTGTGCACGCCTACCTCCTGAAGTCCACGCTTGCATCCTGCTCACTCGCACACATTCCCAACTCACCCAGGAAAGCTCCCTGAGGCCAGGCGCCCTGTGTTCTCCATCTCACTGCCTAGAAGCCAGTCTTGGATTGACCCTTCACATGCTTGTTGGAACATTGAATAAATGATGCCCTCTGCTGTAATCCCCTCCCCCATTTTCTTTTATTTTCTTCCTTCCTTCCCTTCCTTCCTTCCTTCCTTCCTCCCTCCCTCCCTCCCTCCCTCTCTCTCTTTTCTTTCTTTCTTTCTTTCTTTCTCTCTCTCTCTCTCTCTCTCTTTCTTTCTCTCTCTCTCTCTTTCTCTCTCTCTCTTTCTTCTTTCCTTCCTTCCTTCCTTCCTTCCTCCCTCCCTCCCTCCCTCCCTCTCTCTCTTTTCTTTCTTTCTTTCTTTCTCTCTCTCTCTCTCTCTCTCTTTCTTTCTCTCTCTCTCTCTCTCTCTTTCTTTCTTTCTTTCTTTCTCTCTCTCTCTCTTTCTCTCTCTCTCTTTCTTCTTTCCTTCCTTCCTTCCTTCCTCCCTCCCTCCCTCCCTCTCTCTCTTTTCTTTCTTTCTTTCTTTCTTTTCTTTCTTTGTTTCTTTTTTGAGACAGGGTCTCACCATGTCAACCAGGCTGGAGTGCAATGGTGCCATCATAGTTCACTGCAGCCTGGAGTGCAATGGTGCAATCACAGCTCACTGCAGCCTCAAACTCCTGGAATCAAGCGATCCTCCCATCTCTGCCTTTGGAGCAGCTGGGATTAGAGGTGTGAACCACCATGCACGGCTATTTTTTTATTTTTTGAAAGACAGTGTCTCTGTGTTGCTCAGGCTGGTCTCAAACTCTCAGGCTCAAGTAATCCTCCCACCTCAGCCTCCCAAAGCACTAGGACTACAGACATGAGCACCACATCCAGCCTCTAATTCCCATTTTTAAAATGCACCTTCCAATTCCACTCTGGGGATAAAGGAGTCACAGAGCCTGACTCTGGCTCTCCCCACCCATATCATTCAAGCCAGATGGGGAGGCAGGGACAGCTCTGATCCCTCCCCAACTGGGTAGAGATTTCCAGCCCAGCTGTCACAGCTCTAAGACACAGGGACCGAGGGAGAAGCCAAGAGAGGCAGGAAGAGGTGGCAAAGGAGTGCTACAGAAGATAAGGAGGCTGAGCTCCGACAGGGAGCAGGGAGGAGGGGCCATCTTGAGACTGGTGCCCTGCAAGCTCCACCCCACCCCTCCATGCAGTTCCCCATGGGCCCTGCCTGCATCTTCTTGAGGAAAGGCATTGCTGAGAAACAGCGGGTGAGGTGGGGAGAGAGAGAAGGGTGGTGGGCAGGGCAAGGGGAGCAGGAGTGTGGGACAAAGAAGAGGACATGATGGTGCCATAGAACCAGGGGAACAGGCTGATAGAGCAGGAGCTGAGAGGTACAAGAATTCCAAGGACCCTGGTGGGGTCATGTAAGCCAGTGAGATAAATGGGTGGGGGTAAAATCAGAAGTCAGGAGCAAAAAGAAGAGAAAGGGAAGAAAAATGAAGAGAAGTGGGATGATGTCATTGTTGAGATTACCATTATCCTTTTCTATGGATGCTTATTGTGATAACAGTGGTCATGGTGGTGATGATGGTGGTGGTGATAATGATGGCATTGATGATGGTGCTGATTATAGTGGTGATGGTGGTGATGATGCTGGCAGTGGTGCGTGGATGGTGGTTCGGGTGATGGGGTGATGGGTACACGTGCGGGTGGTGAGTGTTGGTGATGGTGTGTGGTGATGGTGATGATGGGGTGAATGGTGGTCCGGTGATGGTGATGAGGTGGGTGATGTGGGATGGTTGATGATGGTGGGATGGGGTGATGAGGGATGGGTGTGGTGAGTGAGGTGATGGTAGAGGTGTGGGTGGGTGGGGTGGTGGATCCAATCGGTGGTTCCACCGTGGTGGGGGATGATGTGGGATGATTGTGATTTGATGTATAGTGTGGGTGGTGTGATGATAGGGATGTATCGCGGTGGTGG